AAAAAACGTACCTTCCCTTATTGAAGAAAATAGAAACAGTCAACGACAACGCGCCAATTCCTTTCCGCTTCGCATACTTCTGTCACGCACTCCTCGTAAACAAACATCCGCGAAATTCGCCCGCAGTGAAATAACAATTTGGCGTGTTTGATAATAGGTGGTTTGCAACCAGTCTCTAGAGACACAGGTAACAATGGTGAAAGGAACCTATGCTGGTGGACGAACAAAAGAAGCTAATGAGATATCCATTATGGCGGCCATGACCTAACGTGCAAACCACCTATAAAAATCTTATTATACGTTTTGTTGTGTAGTATCGCTGAGTATTCTTACTCGTTATTTGTATTTTGACTCGCCCTACGGGCTCGTCAAAATACGGCACAACTCGTAAAAATACTCAGCGATAATACACAACAAAACGTCTAATAAGATATATATATTCATACACTAGTATTATAATCATAGCTAATTCATTAATATTTTGCAAGAAGAAAATCGAAATATTTGAAAACAACGTGTTATGATTACTAGACAGCTTTGTAAACCCGTCTCAGTTTGATACAAAACACAGTGTATTCCTTTCAAAAGTTATCTTACCATGAAGTAACCGGCAGGGCAGCGTTCTTTCTGGGAGACAATTTTTATGTCAGTTACAGGTGAAAAAGGAACTGACTGCATATCAAATCTTTTCTCCCACACTTAAGACAGGAACAGCAACCTGGGAATATTCGAAAGTTGCAAATCACAGTGGGGTGGGTGAAAGTCGACAAACTTCGAATTCAGTGTTTGTTTCGAACTGGCATACTGTTTGGTTGTAATCTCCGATGTTCCTCGATATTCTTAGAGATTACTCGGATGAAAGGAAACTATTCCGACTGGGATATCAGAGAGGCCGTGGTTTATCGAAAGTTTTCGGAATTTTCCGTAATGAGTCCCAGAATGCAACTCGTAGTGGGGGCAGGTGATGTGTTTTGAGAAAGAAGATGGCTTCGGGTCGATCGGGCGAAGTAATCGACGCTGAAAAGACGCTAAGCTGCGACATCGAAAACTTTCATTCGGTTGCAGAGGAACAGTTTCAAGGCGATACCTTAGCTGGACAAGACCGAGAGGCTGGTGGATCTTACAGTTTCCCGGGAGAATCGGAAAACGAGAAGGACAACAATCAGTCAGCTGGTATGAGGTTCCAGATTCTCTCAAATTTTATGTTTCATTTGAGCTTCTTTAACCTCTGAAATGGGAGAATTGAGTGTTTAACCTTATCTCTTGAGGGAATTGGAATAATTGATGATTCCGTTTTTGTTTATCTGCAACGTTAGCGCAGTTTTGCGATGGATCGCCTACATCTAAAGCGAAGTAAAAAATCAGCTTCGGATAATCACGTGAAGAAACTAGTTTGTGTATATGATATGAGTGCGGTATGTTTATAGGCTCGCGTTCCATCTGCCCTCGACTGTTCTTGTGTTCCTTTAATTTCGTTTTCCTTCGTGGAGTTTTGGAACAATTTATTAACGTTGTCCAGAATCTCTTTTTTTAGATCGGTGCCCTTGAATTATGAATGTTACAATGGATTTTTAGATTACTGCCACAATCGATATTTGAAATATCTCAAATTATGTTCGACCCGTGGGTGACGAGTAACGAATTAATCTTCACAAGAATTTTTTACCAGACTTTACTTTCTGCAGTAGACATTTTGCAGTTTACCCTTCCAAGATTTTTCCTCGCCCATTTCACCTTGTCAATCGGAACGTTGTCTGGACAGGGGGGCCCATACGTACTGTACGTTTGTCTTAAGATACAGCTTTAGAGCAGGCGAGCCTGCTTATCTAGGTTCATGTATCTGTCTCAGTGTGTACTGTTACTCAAATATACATCGTACCCCTTCTTGTCTCAGAGACTTTATTCATGCCTTTAAACAATGCTTTATGGAAAGATTTTTAATTTGTCAATTTGTTGGATACCATTAAGTCTGTTTTTTGGAATGAAAGAAGGATTGCTGTGGTAAGTGCTGTTTAAAATTAAAGAAATTGTGAAAATAAACCTAGGATTGTTATGGTCTACCAGACCGGGTCTCTAACCAAGCAATGGACTATTAAATGTGATGGACATCTGAATTGACAGGTCAGCCCAGCATGGAGGTTTTTCTTTTCCTTTTTTTTTGTTTGCCTTTTTTATTACACTTATGGTGCATTTAGCAAGACAATTATTGAAAAAAATCAACAACCTTAAGCTGTTAACAGGTTATTTTTGGCAGTGGTCAATCTTTAAGTCAAGAGTAACATGGAGTACTGCATCACTGTCGGAAGTGGATCGTTGAATGTCAAAGCAGTATTTGTAACACCTCATTTTTAGCAGGCCTGAGTAGATTTGTAGCAATGATTTTCAATTATTTCTGGGATGAGGTCATAAATTATTGTTGGATTACTGAGATTTGCCAGCTATACAGGAGATATTTTATCAGAAGGCTGACAGAACAGAATGGAAGCCTCCTGATGTCTCAAGAACCCACCCTCTAATTTAACACATAATACCCTTAACATCAGTAGACATATTCTCCATACTGTTCTCTACACATTTCATAAGGAGCTGACGAGGAGAATTTGTTTATCAATCGAGAGCCTCTTTTAGTTGGTGACAATTTTTTAAATTATGTAATCTTGTAATCTTTCCATCCTAACATCAGTATGCATATTCTCCATACTGTTAGCCATACAAATCTTAAGGTGCTGTTAAGGAGAATTTGCATACATGTAATAATCAAGGGCTTCTTCATTTGCTAATCATTCGTTTCATTCTCATGATCTTAATTTGTAATTTGAGGGTAATGCTGTATTAAAAAGAAATTAGATTATAACATAGCTAGCAGAGCTGCGCAATCAAATTCAATGTACTTAAGCGTGCTCAAAATCCTGATAGTGTAGGCTGATAGCGTGAGCAAATCGCTTCGCCAGAAATTTTTTATTCATGCCAGTGGCCATTGTTAGCGCAAGGAAAAATAATATATTTCGCGACAATAATGGATACAAACAGAGACTCGGCCCACCAGTCCCAAAACGAAGACAATTTTCCAACCTTTTCCCTTGGGCTAAAGTTCTTAAATGAGGCAGAAAAAGAGAAAAACAGTGGAAAAGGAGACTCGGCATAAGCGCCATCACGATTCGCTTCACTGTCCGAGGGTGAAATGCAACAAATTTTGACAGAAAGACACTCTGGTAAAACCAAACAAATGACAGACTGGTCTATTTCAACCTTCAAAGGTTAGCTTAAAATTTTCCCCTTTAAAATTGTCAAATATATATTTACAGTTGTTTTTGGAAATAGTAAAACTCACGGGAAAATTGTTTGCAAAAGTATTAACACATTTAATTACATCAAATTACAGATGTAGGGATAACAGTCTGTCTGGTTTTCCTTCACGAAAATAACTTTTAAATGGTTTCTTTTTAAACTCAAAGAAAACTTGTTTTTATTTTAGCTTGGTGTTACGAGAAACAAATACAAACTCAGATAGAAAACATGATGGTAGGACAAATGGACACAAACAAATATTTTGCTTACTGCGAACAATCACTTCTGATATTGTTGTCCATTTTTCGTGTCGGATTTGATGCAAAATTCCACTGGCTATGTTATAGAACAATTGGTTCATGCTTTTGGCCATGCGCTATCGAGTTATGGAGCACGTGGGAAGTTTGGAGAGTACTCAAGAAGCTAGAGTTACCCTCGGCTATTGCCTTGGGCAACTCTTATGCTTCTTTCGTGCTGTCCAAACTTCCCACGTGCTCTATAATTCAATAGTGCACACTAAAGCATGAATCAATTGTTAATTAATGAATTAGATCATGATAAATGAACACTTTTAGGGGTGAAAGGGTTAATGTGTGATGCAGAAGTACAGTGGTAAATTATTGCAAGGAGAAATTAAATGAGAGTCACACTAGGGGTTTGAAGGGTTAAGAAAGAGATTTTGTCAATGTGAAGGAGATTGTCACCTTTTTCTTACCCTGATAATTCAACAAGAGCTTTTACACTCTTATAGCTCTGGGCTGAATGAAAAAAAATAATCTTAATCTCAATCTCTGATGGTCTGGTACAGGTTGTGAAATGAGTGGGGAAAACAGAAGCTATCAGTTGTAATTTAGTTGTATCAGGATCTTTTATCAGACTGATTGCTGACCATTTGGTAGTTCAAATTTAATTGACTATGATTAAATTCTGTTTTCTAAATAAAATTAATATTAATACTCATTTCTGCTGGTATCAAATTTATAAAACTGTACTCATGTCATGTCTTCCTTTCATTTTATGCAAAGCTTCATCAACTTCGGAAGATGACACTGAATCTGATCTGCAGTCTTCAAGAGCTCCAAATACAAGTGCATTAGAAACGTTAGTCCGCACCGCCTGTGAAAGTCTGGCAGTGTCAACACTTCTTGCTGGAAATTCTTCATCAAATAGCTTGTTAGATGCCCCTTGCCAGCAGCCTTCACAGGATACATCAGTTGGTCATGACTCCAGAATGAGGATAGTGGCTAGCAACTCAAATGCTAGCTCAAACCTGTATGCACCATCCACTAGTGCTCTTGGTGAGACTACAGCAGCTGAAGATGCAGTATTTAGTGTCATTTTTGGGCACCGGGATCCTAACAGCAGAAATAGTGCAGTAGAAGAAGAGCATGATACTTCATCATCCAAAGATCTTCCAGAACCAAGTTTGGATTTGACCCACAACAGACTCCCTGATATGGGAGATGGTGAGGTACAAAAACTGTTCAAACTAGGTTTTTGTTAGTAATTTTACAGTGTGTGCAGTTTAAATCAAATTTATATACTTCCAGTGTGTGCATCGGTGCATGTCACTGCATGGTACATCATGCTACATATGTGTAACTGCAGTCTGTGTGTAAGAAGAAGTTCTCAAGACAGTATTTTATATGAACTAAAGTTGTACACAAAAAAATGTGTTCAAGAAAAAAATCCTCATTCTAACTGAATGTAGCTTCTTGTACATCTTTAAGACAGTGTTAGGATGGTGCCCCAAGTACTGTTATTCTAATTGAGAAATTAGACTTTGTAATTTTGATATAAACAGAGAGAGCACGATTTACGTGGCCCAACAGGAAATTTTATCATTGTTCTTACCACCCTGGAAAAATGAAGTTTCATCATTTTGACTCTATCAAGGGAAAAAGGTTTGCTTCATTCCTTTTGCCTCACCCTGAATATGTATCTGGAATGTGAAAAATAATATTTAAAATTAATTCAGTTTAAAATATACATGTTTTGCAACATCTGAAGGGTTCATCTGAAGAGATAGAAAAAAGACGAGCAAGTGATCGAGAGCGAAAGAGGAAACCAGCCAGATTTCAATCTCCAACAGAAGATGAATTGAAAGCAAAGAAGAAGAGGAGGAGACGCATGAATCCACTCCTCAGAATACCTCGTCGGGATCCTGCCATCCCATTCAAGTGTGACCTGTGTGGTTCCCCATATGTTATCAACCCCTCAAGACGAGGCAACCGACCAAAGCTTTCCTCTCATCAGCCAAGTCCTCGGCATAAGGTTGATCCAAATACAGGGAAGACCCTCACTCTGTGCAATGCCTGTGGTAGGTGGTCAGTAACACAGGGTCCAAGATAAATTTTTTGGGTGGGCAGTAAGAAATGATTGAACTTTTACATTTTGTTTCCTTGATGGATCTCAAAGAGGAATACATGAACAGGAAGTTTAATATAATAATTACTGACCTTGAAGACCCTGCAAAATGTTTTATCAAATAAGTAATTTATATTAAGGGATTTTTTTAATGGTTCACTTTTTCACTTGATTATTTTGTCACGTTTCTTCACAAAGTTAATGGGAAGCTACAAGGAACTGTTTGAACTCTTACAAGAAAATTGTGAAACACGTTACTTTATGCAA